AACCAGTGGTCACCAACCAGTGGGCTGAGGACCACTGGTGTTCCGCGAGAAAATTTTGGTGGTCCACAGAGAAATGTCACCCCCACAAAGACTCATTTCTGGTGGGGTTTGGGGGAGAGAAAGAAAGACTTCTGCTGCTTTCCTTGCATGAAGTAAAAAAGTCTCAGCAAAGTTAGCCAGAATAAGTTTGTTTCCCATGAAAAGCTATTCCATTTTATTGTTATTTTCACAAACTTATAGTAAAAGTCAATATTCCAAATTCATCTGGACTTTGAATTCACTTGTATCTTTCTTAGATCAAAATGTTATTTACCTTTTTTCTGATTATTTATAATTATTTCAAGTTTGTAAGCTTGTAATTATTTTTCTGTTGGTCAGAGTTGAAGATAAGCTCACCCTGACGACATTTAAAAATTGTCATTCTGAAGGGGCCTAATAGCTTTAAGAAGTGATAAGAAAATGAGGCTTTTGAATTTAGTTGTGATTATTTGCTCCGTTTTCCCAGAGATGCCTTCAATTTTGCCAAAGCTCCCCTGCAAGCCACTTGGAATTAGCCTTTCTTGTTTCCTTAAATGTTGCAATGTACACTATATTCTGAAATGCATTGTATAACTAAGGCAGTCATAGAATTTATTTCATTTGATTAAAAAGTGGCCCATAAAAGAGGCCTAAAGCAAGAAAGAGGAAGTGAGGACACTGATTGGCAAAAGAAAGCTCAGGACCGCATTGGCTGGAAACATGTGGAAGACGCCTTCATCCTGCAATGGGTAGACAACCTCTAAAATGATGGTGATGATTTTTGAAATAGTATGAAATAACTTCTGATTTAATCTTAATGAATGTTAGGAAAAGCATTTTTGATTTACTGTTGAATAAATAATAAATTCATAAAAGTCACTGCTATCAGAATTCTGTTGTGAAGCTTGAACTGAATTTGCTCACCTGGAATTTGAAAGGTTTCTATATACAGAGAGAGGGAGGGAGGGAGGGAGAGAAAGAGACTGGGTCCTTTCAATATGCATTGGATTGATTCTGGGAAGGGAGCATAAATCTGACCATATATAATCAGTGTTTTATAGCTTTCCTCCATTTGAAAGTGTTAATGCAGATCAAATGAAAAACATTCCAGAAAGAATAGCTCTGGCTACTGCTCTGCTTTATATATGGTCCTAATCACTAATTCTTATTTTAAAATCTAAATGTGATTTTGTTTTCTCTTTTAATGTGTTGCAGCTCTCCCAGAGACTTGAGTGAATCCATTCTCAAGTTCCATCTTGATCAATTAATTGTGTGCAAATAATTAAGCTTTTAAGAGATAATGGTATGAGGCTAATGTACACATCAAAAGTAAAGATTTCAAGTCACTGTTTATTGAACAGTGGCCAAATCTCCTTTGATATCTTAAAGTGATCTCGGTGATAAGTATGCTTCTTAGTTAAAACCAGTGGGATGTTACTAATTGACTGATTTTAAATAGGATTCCCTTCTTTGGAACAATAACAACAACAACCAGATGATTATGTAAAGTAGGAATGACTGATAGATTAAAATCTGCCACTCTGCATAATGAATTTCCACTGTTTTAATGTTAAAATAGTAGTTATCTGGAATATCACCCATTCTTATGCTGCAGCCTTGTAGCCTGTAGCATGTGCTTTCCTTGCCTCAAGGATGAGAAATCAGCAATGCTTTGAATGTTTTTAACATGGCCTAGCCTGTGGCATGTTCATTCTTGGTCTATTTAGTGCTGTTCTTGCAGTGTAGAAGGAATAATTCTTACTTCCTACAATAATGGTATTATAAAAATTAATGTTTCAAGCATATGAAACATTTTGGATTTTTTTTAAAGAACCAGCCTCATGATTTTTTCCTCTGGGAGAGATTATCTCCATGAAATAATGGCTTTCATGTGATTATCGCAATTACAGTTTTTTCATGAAACTGAACATTGATGTTAAGCCAATAACCAGACAGTGGGGGAGGGGAGGAAAGAGAAGCATGAAAGAAGGATCAGATGACTGAAAACATACCACATTTTGAAATAATTTTGTTCTAATATTTTAGTCTACTTAGGCATGTGGCTGTATGTGCATGCATTTTGTTTAGAGTAGTTATATTATTCAGATGGCTAATTTTATCTGTTCTTGCACCTAATTCAAAAGGGTCCAGAACAATTGAAAATTGGTTCATGGAGATAGAATTCTCAGTCTCAGTAGCTTGAGGCTATCTCGTACATTTTTGCTTCCTGCATGGAATTGGATATAGGTTGCTGAGTTATATAAAACTGGATCTGTTGCAAGGTGGTAAAGAAATATGAGAAAGAAAATGATTTTGAATATTAGATTAAGCAGCAGTTACATCTAAGTAAATAAAGCCCCATTAACCTGAGCGTAAGCTCCCCAAAACAATTTGAGAATATAATCTCAAATTTAAGAAAAATTGCAATACTACAGAAAATGATCAAAATGAGTCCCGTGAATAGAACACAATGGAATAATAACTGAGTTGGGAGGGACCTTGGAGGTTTTCTAGTCTAACCCTTTGCTCAAGTTATACCATTTCAGACAATTGACTGCTTGGTCTCTTTTTAAAAGCCTCCAATGATGGAGCACCCACAACTTCTGAAGGCAAGCTGTTCTACTGGTTTATTGTTCTCATTGTCAGGAAATTTTTTCCCAGTTCGAGGTTGCTTCTCTCTTTGGTTAGCTTCCAACTATCTTGTCGTGCCTTCTAATGCTTTGGAAAATAGGTTGTGCCCCCCCCCCGCTCTTCTTTGTGGCAGCCCCTTAAATATTGGAATACCCTAGTCACCCCTAGTCCTTCTTTTCACTAGACTAGCTAGACATATTCAATTCCTGCTACCATTCCTCAGTGACAGCATAGTTTGATAATATCAAAAGCTTGGGCCATTAATCCAATCTAACAAACTATTGTAAAGTGTGGACAACATAGGTTCCTAGGGAATGAAGTGATCCAACGCCCCTACAACTATAATTTCTGAGTGCAGGTTGTATCGATTTCCACCATCTTGTAAGCCTTGAAATAGATAAATACAGTTCAAAAACAAAACAGAATATTTCTCATCTCAAAACATATGGAATCCTATGTCTATATACATAACATAGTTTCCATACTATGAATCTTGGTTCCCCCAGACTAGTGAGTTCCAGATTACTGGAATTTTCCCATTCTTGTCTTAGAACTAAACTGATAAGTACTACTAGAAAAAGTGAGCATTAACAATAGGGCTTGACAAATAACTTGCAAGTGTCAAGTGCAAGGTATTTCAAATATCACATAGTCAACATTTCCAGATAAAATGTTGGAAGTCACAAGCAACCTAGAGGGATAATTTACTTCATTTTTCTTGCATAATGAATCCCACCGGTCCCATGTTATCTTTGCAGGTAAAGTTATAATTGGGGAGGAAGAACCGATTGTATTGTTGGATATTATTTTAAAAATGTGAATCTTTGTATTATGGCCTGCCAAAAGCTTATACTAACAAAGCCAAAGACAAATGATCAGTGCTCTGAACCTAAGAAACTGGCAACACTTACATTGGAGACTCATTTATCATAGAACTGTAAGGCATAGTAAGAAGTCTCCAATGTTTATTTTCTTTTACTATTTCTCTAAAACAATGTATATAAGCTACTTTTCATGTAAATGGCCTGTAGCTGCACAGCATTTCATCTTAAAATGTCAAGCTACGATAGTGCTTAAGTTTTCCTTTATTACCTGTTACATACTTTTTTTTGTTTCAGTATTGGAAAGCTGAAATGTCCAGCCCAGGAACAGCTTTCTGGCCATTGTAACTGACCCAAGAGTAGGCTTTCAACTAACAATATAAATTTTCAGAATTTGGAATACTCTTGGAAATAAAAACGAAAATCATTGTGGATCATTGATCTGTCAGTTAATGTTTTTTTTCTTTTTGTTGTCTTTGTGTGCAGGTTTTTAAAAACAATGAAATCATTCTTAAGAGTATTAAAATAACCCTTTTTTCACAAATAACCCTTTTTTCACCTAGATAACCTCAGAATATTGACAAAAATGATTGTGCAGTGATTACTACAACCTGGATAACTCATCAATGTACTTGCCACAATATTTATTTATTAAGGCAAATTTAAAAATGTTGATGTGGTTATGATTTTTGTATTTTTTTCAGGAGAAAATGTGAAAAAAGCATTCATCCTTTGATTTTTTTTTTAGAACTAAAAATCTTTAACTTTTTTGAATTATGAATTTAGCAATGCCAACACTCGGTGGTATTTTTTTGATTGAAAGATGAACTTCAAATTAGGCTAATAATTAGCTGAAAACAATATTGCCTCTGAGTTCTGTCTTAAAATGTGTATAATTTCACTTTAAATTATATCAGTATATCAGCATATAATGAACTCATACAAACATGAAGCTATGGAAAAGCAAGAATCTTTCTAAACTTAGTGCTGAAATTCTCCCAGCAAAAGTGGAATTTCTGATGTATTATTTGTATTCCTTAATCTTAACAGCAGTTGAATTCTGAGCACTTATATAGTCACCGATTTTAATCAAAAGTTAGACAGCTGGACAATCATTAGAACAAAATGCATTCAAGAAAGAAATATGCCAAACATCGGTATAAAACATGAATATGAAAGAAGTTATTTATTCCAGATGCAGAAAGTGACAGTAGGCATGATTCGTTTAAAGAAGAGTTAAAATTTAGTTCTGGCACAACTGTCTTAATTTAGCATCAAAGTGCTTGTATCTCAGGCAGTTCTTTCTACACTTCGCTAATCATTATAATTGACTTGTCTTTTACTGCCATTAATTATATGATGTAGTAGTCCATTAATAATTATGAGAGTGACACACCTCAGCATTTTCATCTTTAATTATAGATACTACATTTTTATGATTCAAGAAAATGGCTAATAAAACTGTTTAATAAACACCCACACTATAGATACATAGGTAGAGATACTTATGCATATTTACTTGTCCTACAGCACCCTTACCCTTCAGAAGAACAGAAAAAGCAGTTGGCACAAGACACAGGGCTGACAATACTTCAAGTGAACAATTGGTAAGTAATTATACTTCAGTATTTACCTAGTATCAGAATTACAGCCTCTGGCAACTTGCAGTTAATGGTTTGCATTATGATGATCCACCTTTTAGTAACTTCCTTTCTTTCCTAGTTTAGGATGGCAAATCCAACATTAGCCCCTAGAGAATGCTTTCAGCTCATGGAGCCAGTGATTTTGTTCTCCTTGTGTTATCGCAATTGGCTTTTACACAGCAGTGGAAATAGTTTCTTTTTGTAAGTGTTTGTATGGTGATTGGCTAGAATGGATTTGTTTTAGACCACCTTTCATGAAATCAATTTCTCAACAGCTAGGAAATTACAAATGAATTGACCATTATTATAGTTATTTCATACTCATTTTAGTGTACCGTTTCATGCAATATTATTCAGAATTGCTGCAGTTGAATATAGAAGCAGTCTAAATCCTTTTAATGTCTCTCAAGCCATGAGGGAGAAATCTGGTTAACATAATTACTAATAAGCTAATTAATAAAAAGAACAAGCAGAAATATAACTGCCCAAATTTTGGTTTAGGAGGGAAAATAAATTTTCTTAAAATATATTAAGTTTTTATTGTTTCTAATAGTATAGCTCTTAATGCGGGGGAATGCAGTTTAAAAAAACAATTTAGTGTGTTGCATGTTTGTTCATGATATGAAATGCGTGCTTCACACTGAAACAGCATTTAAATTATATTGAAATCTAATGCTGTGTAAAATTAACTGAATCTAATTAATTGTCCCAATAATTTTAGATTAGTGTTTACGATATGGAAATCTTATCATCTTTGAAGTAATATTCAGGAAATGGCCAAGGCAAGCTCCAAGTATGATGTGAAAGAGATCTAGACAATTTTTTTCTCTTACTATTCCAAAAGTGTCAGAGATTAATATTGCTGAGACTTTGATTACAAGGGTAATCCATTTTAGTGAATAAATTTGGTTTTGATGGTTTATTGCACCTGCATTAACCAGCTTTTCACAGAGACAGAGTGACTAGAGACCAAAGAGAGGGGCTTCAGATATATTAAACTCTTATTATAGAAAATGTAATTTCTGTCAATATAATCCCATGTATTCTTCAATTTAGTGCTTTGGAGATAACAAGCTACTTACAATATATTTGCCTTCAGAGGATTAATTCACAAAGTGCTATCTGTAAGACACAGACAGGCTCATATAATCAGAGCTTGTAAAGGTTATCAATTGGTGTGACCTTACAGCAGACGTAGGAGATCAATTTGCTGTAGCCTTTTAAATACGTTGAACAATGAAATCAGAGAATGCTTTGTGCGCTGATTTACTTATTTTTTTTGAATGCCAAATAATAAATAATTATGTGTTAACCACTAATAAGGACATCAGAATATAAACCACACTTGATGCAAATTTATTGTAAGAACATGCCTGGCTTGTACGTCTGTATCTCGCTTTGTTGGCTCCTTCAAATGGGTATGCAATTTTGCCAATATGTAATGCTACTTACTTACAAAGTTTGCTAAAATTGCTCTTCGTGGGTGAATTATAGCATATTGCACCCATGCATTGGTAAAAATACAGAAGTTTATGATGAGGTTATCATAGTTTCATCTTCTTCTGTATAAATGGGAGAACACCATTTGGACATTTGCACATTTGTAATGCAGTGTTGTATCTCTATCTGGATATCTCTGGTCTTCTACTATAGCAATCCTATCTTAGTAAGAAATCTTGTGAAATCTTGTGAATGTAAGTTTTCAAATATGGCCCTTACGTTACACTGAATCATCAGAATTTTGTATTTGGTTTCATTTTTGTTCTACTTCTGTATCAACGGCTATAATGTTGTTGTGATTCAGTGCATTTATTTTAATATTTCTTCTGTGGTGTTATGTATGTAAATAACCTAGTAAATATTTTCTTAATGGGTGGGGTTTAATAACCTAAAACAAAATGTTAAAACATGAGTTATTTAAGAGTCGCATTAAAAGGGATTAAGAGCCAAATTAAAATAGAATGGCTAAGAAATAAAGGGAAAAAAGATTGCCGAGTTCATCAGAGTTCAAATGAGACAAGGCATGTTGGTTAGAGCAGGAATTTAGAAGGTAGTTTTTGTTAGGGCTTGTACCGCTTTATTTTCTAGCCCTGTTTGAAGAACTCAGATCCCTTGAAGTGAGCAGGTCATATTCCCTGAGTCAGGATTGGCTAGAAATATATAAACTATATTGTATGTTATTATAAGCTTGTGAATTATTCTAGCCTTCAAGGATAGATTTGAAACCTAGATAATATTCTATCAACAATTATGCCGGGTATGACTAACATGTAATGTCCTAAGGGAAAACAATGTGGTTTATGATAGCTTCCTAAATACTTCATTTTAATGAATTCAAAGTATTTCTAAATCGTGTTGTGCAATTAGAAAGCCTGTGTGATACATCTGGTCTCTAGAATTTTTTTAAAAAATCTGACTCCTGAGCAGCTGAATATTCTGAGCTGAAATTCTAAAAACTCATGGCATTGGGCACATATATCAGACAACCCCTGGGTGAAGTATTAGGGCACTTCTCTTTGTACAGGAACATCCTGTTTCCCAAGGCGGAGGTTAGAAAAGAGCCGCCCTATCATTAGGCAGAGTGACTACGTGTTTGCTTGCATATCCAAATTAAAAGCCCAGAAGGTATAAAGCTATACGTGCACTTAATTAGATTCAGCTATACATGCACTGGACTGCCTACCCTGTATCATCTGAACTATTCTGCCATATGCAAATGAAATAGAAACAGCCAGCATTGAAATTAAAATTCAGCTGCTAGGCTGGATGATTTCTCCATGAAGAGTTTTGGTGAGGGTGAGGACATTGTAGATGTTGCCTCAGTTAGCAAAATGTCTTGGAGTGGCCCCTAGATTAGCCTCTACTTTCGAGAGCAAGGCACCTGAAAGAGAAAGAGAAATGAGCTTCACTGTCAGCACCTATACAACTTAAGCCAGTACTCCCGGGCTTCAGATGCTGTGCTAAAACAAGCCAATACAGGGATAATATGTTTCATGAACAATTATGTGCACTGTGACTATAGGTGTTCATTGTTCAAGGTATGACTCTTTTCTCCGACATCAAACAATTAAGATGGCCTTAAGCAACCCATTCTCTCTCAACTTTAGCCTTCCAAATGCAATTTGGCAGGATCATATAGATTTATCTTAGAGGTTGGATTATATGACATTATACATTAAGTTCCCTGTTAAATTAATTTAAAATGTTTTTATAGCAGCTTATGAAACAGTTGACAAGATAAAATTCAAAGCAATAAACTAGAACGTGGTTAACTAAAATGAAGTTTACAACTCCTACAAATTTTTAAAACACTATGCAAATTAGGACTGTATAAAGCATCCAAAAGATGTGCTTGCAAAACTTGTTAGCACAAGTGGAACACTTTCTGTGCATGTACATGCAGACAGTCTGGAACAACGTGTGAAAAATTTGTGTGAGATTTCCACCTTTTTCAAATGCTTTACACAGCTCTAACACAAACTCTAAGTCATCAATCTGTAATTGTGCCAGTTATATATTCTACAATTGGAGAAGGAAGAATTAAGCTCTAGATGATGACATGCCCAAGGCAGCTATCTCAAATTAATAGTAGCACCTATTGGTACTGCCTTGTACCAGATTTATGGATTGCCCTCTAGGTGTCTTTCCATTGAGCTGTGCTCTGCGCCTTTTTGCCTGTTCTTTGGAAAATACTTCCAAGTGGTTAACATAATTTAGTTCAGGGAAAGTAATTAATGGCTATATCGTAGAGAACTGTACAATTATTCTTTTTTTCTGCAAGAAAAATCTAATCTATAGACTAGTTTTGCCTTGTTTAGTTGACACATAAATGATTTGATTGTAATTCTCTGAAATTTTTTTCTTTGTTTAAATCTTTCAAAACCTGTTAACAACCATGAACAATTTTATTCTGATGAGTTAGTAAATGTTGCAGAGATTAAATAAGTCTGAATGGCAGCTTAGGTGTAGATCAGTTATGAATGATTGCAGTATGGCGTGTGTGTGAATACATGAAATTTACATGAAAAACAAAGTTTGTGACTTGAGAGTATGCTATCTGAATAAAAAATATATTGGATTTGATGGCCTCCTGAAAGAATGAAGATTTTTCAGAATGCTTTCTGAAAATACCTTAAATAATTTATTTTGATATATCTCAAATTTAAAGTAACAGTTATCCATGTATGTTGATTTTCTTTCAGGGTTTTTTTTTGGGGGGGGGGTGTTTATAAGATCACAAGACTGCTAAAACAATTCAAAATGCTTCAATTATTTCAAATCAGTGAAACACTGGAATATTATAACATTATAGCTTGAGTTAAATTTGCAATTTATACCAGATATTTCCAATGAGAAAACAAATGCTTCTAAGCTCTGAATCTGACATAACAAAATTCAAATAGCAGTAAAAGTTTGTAAGGCAAGTGTTAGGATTTAGAAGCATAAGATTTTATCTCTATGATCAACCTCTGAAGCATGTAGTAGTCATTGGGAAAGAAAGTAAAAGAACATAAAATATGGTTGTGAAAAGACCCAGCAAGATTAGCTTAAATATTTTGTTATAACCCCCACCCCCACCCCCTATTCTTCAGTTTTAGCATTATGCTTCCAGAAACCTTACTAAGATTTATGGGAAGATTATATCCATCTTTCTTGCCATTCTGATGCTCATGGATGCATTTGGACCCTTCCCAGGTCTAATTTGTTTTGTTTTGCTTATTGTTATTGTTACATTTATTGATTTGTTTAACTGGTTAAAAAAAATTGGAAGAAGGCATGTTGTAAAACAAAATGCCGACTAGAAGGGTTGTCTTTGTTTCCAAAAATGATTCAGTATCCTGCATATACTTCAGATGCATCTTTATAAAAATTTGATTCAAAAATAAAAAGGAGGAGGAGGAAAAATAAGCATCTGAAGGAGAGGAAATAATGGAGAGCATCCTCCTGTTTCTTTTCTCTGAATC